GAAAACTCCTATCCGATAAGTGCATATAAATCAAAATGAAAAAGCAGCAAACAAAGAACTGAGAGATAAGTGCAATGAGAGTGTGAATCTGCGAGAACGGTAGGCAGACACACGAACAGGAAAGAGATAATTTAATCGGTGTAGCTGAAAAAACCACCAATTAGGATGGCCGTAAATTCCAACGGGACCAGAGAGCACATATCGTTCCGGAACTGGTGTTAATGAATTTCGGTGAGATAAATCAGTACCTGGTCCTTGCCTACCGTGTCTCCCGGTGATACAGTGATTCGGTCAACCTGGCCCTTAACCTTGGCGCGAACAGTGTATTCCATTTTCATCGCGATTAGAGTAACCAAAGCCTGTCCAGCAGTGACAACCTCATTGGGGTTGATAAATATTCGCTCTATCACGCCCGGTATCGGAGATAGACAAATTGATGGATCATCCCCTTCTCCCGAGGCGCCAAGTGCATTATCATACATCGATACTGATCGATCAGACGAATACGACTGCGCATCGGGTAAATGGACTTCTGAGTGTGAGCCGTCTGTATCATTGAACAGATGTAGCCGATTAGCTTCGGCATCGTGAACCGCAGTGACGGTGCACTGACGACGCGAAATTACATTCAAGTTGGTGTGTGTCGGATCGAGAAGTGCCAGTTCAACTTGAAAAACGTAATTTTGCAGACCGCGATCGACTTTTGGTGAATCCAAGAGAGTGACAACAGCAGATACTTCATCCGCAGTTACGGAACAATCAGGTGACTGGACAATAGAAATGCGATAACCAGAATCAGTACCATATTTCGGGTATGTGACTCTCACGATACTCCTCGGATGATTGTTCAGCGCAAGTTCAAACTGACGTGTGTATGATAGATTCAGACGAAAGCCGAATGCATCAGAAGGCCATGACGTGGGAGCTCGTTGGCTGGAGAGTGATGCAGCGTGTAGTATTGGTTCTAAAGTAGCCCAAACGGCAGCTGCGACGTGCAGAAATGATGATGATGATGATGCGCCATCACCCAGTTGAATTTCGGCCGATGCAGGGCGCAGGTCATCCAAGTGTTCCTTGATAAATTCTGTATGCACCTAAACGACGAATAAAAAGGAATAAGTTCGATGAAATGAATACTGAAAGAAGATGCGGACATTAGAATGACCTCTAGCGAAAAGATATCTCCCTAATATTTTAACGAAATATTCTCACTTGTTCATCAAATCAAACCGTAAAATATGCTCATAAACAGTGAAAATACAACGTTTATCGCATAGGGTGATATCTAGGAGAATAGGACACCTACGTGATTGGGTGAGTACAGTTCAGTTTACGGCAAGGGTAACGGTGAGCAAACAGAATAGATGAATACCAGTGTGCTAGAATCACAGACATGGATATGCGTAAACAGAGCAGCGGTAGAGCACAGTGTGCGTTGATTGACATTGCGACCAGCATTATCATTTCAGATGAGAGAAACGATGTTACTTAGGGCGGCGGTGACTCGGTGATAATATCACCAAATTATTGCTCCGGAAGACATGTATTTCACCGCCGCCTGATTTTCTTCGTTGTGTGGTACAGCAGCCCTTTGATTGGTCGCTTCCCCCTTCGTGGAAACTGTATCTTTGTATGTTCAATGAAGGGAAGTAAAAATGAAAAAGAAAAAAAAATAACAGAATATTTTTGCCATTGCACATAACACTCAGAAGTAAAATGAACACGATAGATCAACGACCAGGCTCAAAGTGCTCAACTATGGCTTCACGTGCCATTAATTAGACCTTCAGGCTGCAGTAACCACGGCATAGAAAATAATTTTAAGTTTGTATATTTCTACAGTGTCTTGGTTATGTAGCGTTCAAATATGGTTTCTGCTTCTCCCTTCGACAATAGTTTTCTGGTCATTTTTCAGAAATCCGTTTACAAAGCCGCATAAGGAAACATTACAGGAACCACGCGCCGATGGGATTTTGACTATGATTGCTACCGGGCTGGACTGATTGATGAACCAATGGACAACTCGATTGGCAATAACTAAATAACGGTCTGCATTTTCAATTGGTGCATTAAGTTCAGATGTGAGGCCAAGGAAAGATACCAGCTCTTATAAATTGCTTTGTGAGCAAAGTAGGCGGTAGATTAATCTCAATGTCATTACCTTCTTTGCACAAACTAATCGAGCGTTGTGCCGGATACACACGATGCAATAGAAGGGACGAAACAATACTACCCACTTCAACAGGGTCTATGAACGTTTGCACATATTTGAAAAGTTAAGGACATGATTCGTCCATCAGCTGGCTTTTTAACCATATTCATGTGTGAAAACGTCAGTCAGAGAATACCACAACAAAGCCAATCCATTTAATGTGCTATTTGTGAAAGATAAAGTTTTAACAGGTATGATGGGTTCAAACGAAGGGAATCAACCGCACTAGCTTGCAGAGAATGATACATATAGGAGCAGCAGACTAGAACTGATGGAGATACATGAACGAGAAAGGATAACATTGTCTCATGTGACTGCTACACCTAAAGTACGAGCGTCTGGGGCGGGGTCATCTTATTCAGTTACAACATCAAACCAGTAAGGAAATTCAGTTGATTTGAAAATCTTTGTCCCGTAAGAGGTTTTAGATTCGCCTGTTTCTCGGAGGTATGAGACAAGAGTGCATGGGTCGTGAATAAACCCTGAGAAGGGAGAACGAAGCAGCCATTTTTCGTGCTGTCTGTTAGATCTTCAATTTGATATACCAATTCCAATGTGCATTATAGTGAAAAATGATTTACATACGAAGGGAGAATTACATAGGATCGGAGGTCACTCCAAGAACTTTTCCAACTTACACAACCCGAACGAACACCGGGATGTGAAATCAAATGCTGGAGTAGATCAATATTGGTCGGAATGCCGGCAATCTGATAGTTGGCCAGAGCGCATTTCATACGGTCTAACGCACGCTCGCGGGTCTCGCCCCAAACACAAAGTTTGGCAATCATCGGGTCATAGTGTACGGAGATTTTGTCACCCGAAAGCACACCTGTATCCACACGCACTGAGCCATTAATGTGCGTATAATTAACTGATCCTTTTGGGGGAGAAAGAAACTTCAATGCACCCGCGGTCGGCATCATCTGGGCCGGATTTGAGCAATCCTCAGCATAGATCCGTGCTTCGAAAGCGTGTCCGACAAAGGGAATTCGATCCTGTTGCCGAATAGGGAGCGGTTTTCCCGCAGCCACCTCTAATTGCCATTGAACCAGATCGGTTTGGGTGATTGCTTCAGTGACAGGATGCTCAACCTAAAGGATGTCGATGTGAAAATGTCGAGATAAACAAGAACCAAATATCCACCAGAAGTGATGCGTACGAAAAATGAAATGAACGCTGATGTCAAGTAACAGGTTATTAAACATAATTTCAATAAAAATGTAGCTTTACTAACGCGAACGATTGGGTCAAAGTTTCAAGTTGGCTCCACAAATTTGCATAATTTTCGGTTCCGGGTAAGAAATAGTACTTTATAGAAGCATTTCTGACAGCTTTGGATGATTAGGGTGTGAATCGTATGTTAACTAAAGATAACTAAAGGGAACTTCAGTTTAGGACGCACATAGGCAAATAATCACCACAATCTGTGACAGCAGGGACATGAGTATTCTAACACAGAGCATCAACTCTGCACAAGGTCGTGCATAGTAATACCTTTAAGGGGCGGTGGAGCAGGGGGTTGGTGTTGAAGAACAAGCTGGAACAAACGGGTGGTAGCAGAAAAATGATTGTTCGCTAAGACGTGATATATGTGATCAGTAGGGTACGAATGAGAAAAGATATGAAAGGAGACAACGTTAGGTTGTCTAAATAAGGCACCCAGGAGACAGATTCGTGGAAAAGCCATGATGCACAGATGACACCGCATCGGGTGACAAAACCGAGCTTCGTCTCACACACACTCACGCAAACGAACACAAATACAAACAGCTCCCATCCGTGCATCCAGTAGCATTCATAATGCCAACCGATGATCACAGAATCCCGTGATTTAGTAGAAAACGTCCGTTTTTTTTAGATTTCATATGGACGCGCAAGTGCATATGGACATACGGAAATGCATTCATGCTCAAAAATGCGCATCGCAAACAAACGGGTGTAACGACAATATGACATTTTTTGTTTGCATAATCGCTCAACAACCACGGAACATGTTGCATAAAACAAGCGCTGCATTGTTTATGATATGCTGTGTCCCGAAACGAGAGATGCCACAACTATGAAGGGATGCAGAAAAAGCGATAGGTGGAAACTAAAGAGGGCTATTGGTGTTCCGGACAAATTCACGATGTTCCACGTTAGAGAGAAACGAGATAAAGCAGAATAGGTTCGACATTTAAATACATCGAATCGAGACCACAGATAAAACGTACAGGCAATAGTCCTATATCAAATGCGCGATCTACAAACTTTAAGTCTTGGAAGTACTGTGCAACTGCTAATTTAGGGTTGGGAATCACCACCAATGTGTCATCTGAATATACCGATATTCGCACTCGAGCAAGACATCCGGCTAGTTTCTTGTGAAAACTTATACAGCAGCTTTGCCAAACCTCACGGGTACCAAGACCAACCTAACCATTCCACCCATATCCCAGTATTATAATAATCTAAAGCAAACCCCACTTAGCAGAAAATGAGTGAAGATGAAAATTCCTTTACTGACAGCTATCAACCTGTCTCGATCTCAGTTTAAAAAAATAGCATGGGTGCAGCGTTCCTAGCTGGATGCACTTCTTTATATAGTATCTCATGCGACCGTACCGTGTAAATGATTACGCATCACTACCGCCATTACTATTCCGGTAGGACAGCACAGCGGCTACTGTTCAAAATCGAACTAACGGAGCATTTCATATACCAATGGCAAACAAAACGGGGTTTTCAAGTAGGAACAATAAATTAATTTTTGAGAGTGAGACAAGGAGAAATTCTTAGTTTAAGTATCCGCCACCACTTAAACGTGATCTTGAAGAGCGGTCACCTCCATTAGAATGAACACATTGTTTCGGTCTCGAATGATTTGACCACTGAAACTCCCCTAAAGCAAACAAAAATGACCATCGTGTACCATACTTGCAGACCACGAACAAACGCCAGGTGACCTAAGGGTTAGATGCCAAACGTAGAACTTCTATAAATAGTATAGGTCATTTAGGCGTTTAACGGAAGGGCATAAGAATCCTTCAAAGAAGATTGCCGGTAGATATTTTGAAATTTTGTATATGCTACTATGCTGGCTCAGTTATTTATTATTACTATTATTTATTTATTACAACCATGGACGATCGCGGTGTTGGCTACTGTAGATGCATCCACTATCACTGGTAAGATCAATCCATTCACAGATGAACTGGTCTATGTTCGTCAAATCTCTCCGGTAGGGGGGGGGGTGAATGGGAAAGATATTTCTGAACCTTTTTCATATGGCAGAAACTGTGAACCAGTTCAAGATCGGAGTTTCCCCTGAAAATGGTTGTATTGGATTGAGAAAGCAAATCCATATCGTGGAGGAAAAAGTAATCTGCATCGAAACCATTTAGGAGTAAGGATCGGGGAAATGCCGAGACGACTGTCTCAGAGCATGACATCAACGCAGAAAAGAGATAGATGGCTGTGTGACAGTTTTGGCGAAACTTTGGATAAAATATACACAAAAGTCGAGCGTGGAAATAGTGTCCAGGAAGGATTTTAGCTGTTCACTAGGAACAGCAATGTGAGGCATAACTAATAAAGGATTCTTTTCAAACAAAGCAAACTGTGACTGAAATTTTGCTAATTTATTATTTGAAACGCGATGGATATCCATAAACACACGGGAAGCAATCAAATGCTGAAGACTTATCTTCTTGTTCAAACTAAGTTTTGTATAATTTCCCGAACGTCCCTAGCAAAACCGAACACACCTGAGGACGGACAAACTCCGGCTGACCCCAAAGATGTTCGTTCCAATATTATTAACCATAAGCATATTCGTCCATTCATCCTTGTACGCGGTACTTTCCATCGTCTGATTTTCAAGGATAGACGGACAAAGGCCCAGAATTCTAATAGACCTATTGAAAATTCAGACCAGCAGATATTACCGCTCCAAATCGACTGCGAGCGCAGAATCCAAGATCACTATTGATTACACCCAGCTTCGGTATTCTGAATAGCCAGACCTCATGCCATGGTAGCCTGGTGGGAACGTCACCAAATTATCACCCCGGAGGACGTGTGTTCAAATCTCACCACCACCGCCTGACTTTACCCCTTCTACGACAACCTTTTGATTGGCCGCTTCCCCCTTCCTGAAAATTGCATAGCAATAAAAATAAAGTAAGAATGAAAATGAAGAGGACCGGGATAACCAGGATTTTTAAATGGAATTTAGTTGTAAATAGCTGCAAAAGGAGCAAAAATGATCACAGACTGAAAGAAATATTACGTATTACACATTATTAGGTTTTACACTAATATAAAACATCAAAAAATCTAGGACGAAACCCAAAGAACTTTGTTATTCTTGTTATCCGCTGTTTTCCATTGTAACTGTCTAATTGTCTTTACACTTCGTTCTGTATCCCGATTAGCCCATTCCGTTCCTTTTATTATTGTTGTGTAGTTGGCACCCTGCTTGTCCGCTTGCCGGTCATATCTATATATAAATAATAAAAGGAAAGTAACAAGTTCTACTATTGCCGTTATTGGAGCAGCAAGCTTTCGGTTTGTACAACCATTAACCTCGTATCTTCGTACTCCGATTTCGGCCGTTGCCCATCGACTTACCTGTGAGCACAAACCGGAGAAAAAAATCCATATCGAGACTGCAGTTGCCATTTCTACGTTCAGTTTTCCTCATCTTCCTCTGCCACTCGGAACAAATGACCGACGAAATCACACGTGTTCCGATCAGCTTGCAACTTACAGTACAACACAGATGGAGTGGTCAATAGTCAACGAATGGTCATTATCCATAGTATCACCTGGGGCTTAAATAACTCAGCAGTACCTATCTGTACGGATAAACAAAAGGGAACGATGATCGAGGTCGAATAGTTGTGGCCGGGCGAGAGCAATATTTATTTATCCACTTGATGGATTGCGCAGTGCCCATGTGAGCCATTTACAACAAAAAACCTATGTGCCCAAAGAACTGTTGAGGAGTCGAGAGCTGTCGTTTACGTCACAGCGACGCACATAGATCATGATCGTACCAAAAAACATCTCGCGATGTACAGGACAGGAAAACGTAATCCGGTGAGCAAAAACAAACCCACTGACCATAAAATCAGTCAACAAGCATATGATTGCAAGTATATTACGATAGAGTGAAAGAAACAACCGACTGTCGATCGAGCGTTTCTTTTTGTGCCGCAGGGTCCCAGACAGTGTCGAATTGGTTTATTTTCCACACAAAAATCATTCAACAATCGAAATTTCTACATCAGCGGATTGTATAAGTCAGCCAGAATTCTACCCTTGGTCAGCTTGTACTACCACATAAGGTACTTACTTGCTCCAAGAGTAGGCTAAAAAAATTCTTAAAAGAAGGAATCCCGACAGTAATGCTTGGCATATTCCCTGCAACACCTTACCTTACTTTTAAGCTGACAAATTTGTACTTTCCGGTTGGTGAGGTCGCCTGAATTCCTCGTAGGCACGAATTCACTGAATCTCATAGGCTACATGCTAATCCATCTAAAATCATAGTGGCAACGAACTCGTAGTCTGTAACTTGGAAAGACCGGTCGATTGTGATACTAATTGTTATACTCCGCAAAATCCTATCCAAGAGACCGTTAATCAACACCGGGATACCGGAAATCGATACTGAGAGACCTAGAATAGAGAAAGATACGAATGTGTGCCAAAAGTGAGTAGATGGACGAGCTTACGAATAATGGCATTCATCCATATCAAACAATATTTATGGCAGACGATTGAATTTAGTTTCAGTTTTTACAACCATTAACCATGCACTTTTGTGCGCCGGTTTTGGTTGCTGTCTTTGCCCCCTCCCTCCCCCCATTTGGAAGATTGGTTTCCTCGCGACGTTCCCGATGGGGAAACCTAAGGTGACCTACCCGTCCTAATTCTCTCGTCAGAATTTTGCATTCCCGGTCACGGTCTGAATACCATTGACATTCTTTCTATCCGTTAACCTTTTGGTGACACTCATGGCCATTTTATTCATTCAACATTAACAGCTGGTCTGGTTTTCATCTACATTCAAGTTTATCTCGAAAAAAAAACGCTTCACATTTTT